GTTGTTGGTTAGGAGATGTAACTGAGCACGAACAGCGAATTTCAGTTCAGAGAGCATATAGGAAATTTCAGAGCCTATTGTGTGCCTGAGAGGCGATATCTCAAGGTCACATACCATTACAATTTTGATTCCCAAGATCACGGACTTCAAACCGGAGAAGTGAACCCTAGTGAGCACACAGAATATAGGGCTCCGTACTCAGTTGTGAACATTACTAGAAAACAAGAAGAAGGGGAATAGCCAGCTGCCTAATTTAAACATCGATGGAGAGTCCTGCGAGGACATCAGGAAAATTGGATATACCGTCTCCTATTGGTCCAGATACATCTAACATTCCTGTTGAAGACCTTCACAGGGCTCAAGTTAGTAGAAAAATAAAGGAAGAAGAGGATGGCAAGACACTAGCCCCAGCTGCCGCAGGACTCTGGCCAGCGATGCCGAATCGACTGATAGGATATCAGGGTTACTTTTAGCGAAGAAGAGCTGATACTGCTGAATGACGAGGAACAATACACTTCAACTGATTAGCAGTAATGCACAATACTCCTTCGATCAGAGTGGCTCAGGTGGGTATTGAAGAAGGAAAGATTATCTGGGATGCCAGGTGTGCAATTTCCATAGAGCTTGCATTTCGATGAGAACTGGTACCTATTATGTGTTTCTCTTATATTCATTCATGATGATGAACTCAGTCACTATTCGGGCCAATATCCGCACAGGGTCATTACATCTCGACTCAGTATATAAGCTCCAGTATAGTTTGCTAGAGATGAGCAAGCAATACTGAAGGGAGAAGAGACGCTATCTGACTACTGCAGTAGACGCAATTAAGGTTGGTCCAACGAAAACTTGACACCCCGAGTTTTGAGCTCCAAAAGGGAATCTGGTAAAACGCTCGGAGCCGTCGATACTCGATTCGAGGGAAAACGACTTGTCTGCTTTTTTCGTCCCGTAACTCCAATCTCCAAACCTCCCATCATCATTTCACTTCCATTCGAGCTACAGTTAGACATCAAATATCTTTTATGAAATTGTTCGGATATAACCAAGACTGCTGCACCAGTAACCGATTGCATTCGTTATTTGAAATTCATCCGTTTCAATACAAGGTCCGTCAGATATAAACCTCACGTTCTCGAAATAGGTAGTAACTACTGGACACGAGTTGCTTTTTAGTCGTCATACATTGGTGGTCGACTGAGCATTGTGTGTTTGTTTACTACTCGTTCATTAGAACATGCCGCTTTGTGATTTTAACACAGAGTCTTGTCACGTACATTTTCACCAAAAAGGATATAACAGCTCAAATTATGCCAATCGGGTCGCCACAGCCGTGACTTGGAATGGGTTGCTCATAAAAAAAAACTAGAGTCGAGTAATTTGCATAATGAATTCAGCATGATACCTTGTATGAATCAGAAAAATCTCTCACCAGTTGAATGCTGCTCGAAGAAAAACGGCCCAATAACGTAATCATGGAATATACCTCTCCAAATATTGAGCGACCACTCATGTTGGAAGATGAAAACTAGAACTGCATGCGGATTTTCAGTAGCGAAATAGTGGAAATTATGACGATTAACAAAAACATTTTTGTGAAATGTTGATTCATCACTAAACAGCACATTTTTGATAAATGAAGAGTTTTCTCTAACTCTGTCTCGTGCCCATTGACAAAATGTTACTCGTCTTCCAGAATCATTTCCTGTGAGTTCTTGGTATTGAGCTGGACTTCGCTACTGATGATTTCTCGATATCTCAATGTTCACTGTAGCTGATAAAGCGAATGTAAATTCATTTTCTTCTGTCAAGACAATCTTTTTCCTTGTAGATATTTAATAATTCACAATTTCTGTGCGCTCAAATCTATCTTTCATTCTTCTTGAGGGCGTTTTCCTATAAGGAAAGTTATCGGGCATATATTCTAGAGGCTAACAGACAATTTCCATGAATTTCTTCTGGAGTTTACATCATGCTTATCAATCCTCTCTTCATTTCAAATCCTCAACATCAAACACTTCACATTTCTGAAACTGAATGGAACGAAAGTGTCGACACATGGCCAACTGGGAAAATAGGACGAGCAGAAGTACTCACATAGAGAACAATTTTGCGCCACTACAGATGATGAAACCAGATATTCAATTTTTAATCCATGTGTTTGTGAATATTAGGTATTTTTCAGTGTATAATTGTGCTTCAGTGGTTTTTTTTTGGAAAAATTGATGATGGATTATGGGATGATGCTCCAAACTGAAGAATGTTATTGAAATAGTAACCATTTGAATAAGGTTCAGCTGTTTGAGCAGGCCTTTAGACCAATGTTTTGAAGGCCTTTAGACCACTGTTTCGGAGGCAGACGTTGCTTTTGGTATATTTGTTTGTTTCACATAGGAACATATTATTCAAATCATAAGTATCAAGATTACGGAATATTTCAAATTTGAACAATGCACATATCGCAAAAATACCTGAATGATCCATGTAGAACCTCGAATGTCATGTGGCATGATGAGTAGCTCCGAGTGATAAAAACATGAGGAAATTATTAAAAAGGAACATTTCTAGATATATTAATGAACAAAAAAATGGATATATATATATATAAAGAAATACATTGAGAATTCGCATTCTCCATGTGATGGAAATATTAATTCATAGATGAAAAACCCAAAGTCATCTCCACAACTTTTATTGAAATGATTGAAGATCATCGATGGTACATGTTTCGGCCTTATATAAGCCCATCATCAGCCGATAAACTACACCACTCCACTTTGAGTTACCATGGACTTCTTCCAAAGATGAAATATTAATTCTTTCTCGGTTTATTTAACAGAAAACAACTACTTCCCTGGCTATATGCCACGACGAATATTGAATTACATCAATTGAACACACACGATAAGAATTTGAAAACAATATCTTCTGAAGTAGAGAATTTGCATTCTCCTTCCTATAAAGATATGCATCAAATAGAATAATATGATGTTTTATGATATAAAAATATAACTTACCGATATGTTCAGTATTGCAATAAAAATCGAGATGTATAGGAGAAGTATACTTCAAGAACTCTGATATTGATGAGCTTGAAACTTCCAGAAAAAATCATTCGTATCAGTGATATGGGAATTATATTTCTCACAAACAGGTTATATGAATTCATTCCGGATATAATATCCTCATCAGTAAAAGTCCAGTTATTCTTTCAGCCATCCTTCATGATAAACACAATTCTCATCTCCCCATAATATAACTAAAACTATAAACGTTTCTTGGATGTATAATAAATTGACATTCATCATACAGGACGTGAATTTGAGAGATGATTCATTCCTCAATTTCAGAGGATTTAGATTTTTTATGCTCTCTTTCTGGATATTCAACAGATATAATTCGTGTTTGACGTGACAAATAGCCAGGAAAGTAGTTGTTTTCTGTTGAATATTCAGAATTATATTATATATGCATACCTTTATATACATTTTTTTTTTAAATCGACCCAATTTTCCGCTGATATTTCAATGCAAACTCACCAGAACATCAAAAAGTAAAAAAGAATAAGCACTTGTGACGAATCAAAGGATCCACAAAAATACCGATAAGTGAAAAATCAGTAATCATTCTATTAAACAATAAACATTTCCATAATAGTTCAACTCTTCCGATTAGGCACATGTTGAATTCACAAACTATAAGATTCGATTCCGAATCTCATATCAAGTGTCAATCATATTCATCAATGCTCGCTATTTTTTAGTGAGAAAATCATGTAATTATCATCGGAGAAACTGCTCTGAGCAAAACTCCACAAGATACCTTGGCAGCTTTTCATGATCTACAATAGATCTGGCCGTTTTAGAATACTTTTCTTACATATAGAGACGTGTCATTTATGTGGTTGATGAATTCACATCAACTAATTCCTCGACATCATTGAAACACCGTAGGGAAGTCAACAAACTTGCACACTGCGTAGAATTGTCATTAAACATAGTAAGAAATTGAATTTTCCCAGCAAGAATTCCAAATAGCACCTGCGACTATTAGATATTGATTCTTGCTGCCCCTAGCGAGTGCATCTGTACATTGCTATCAGACGATGATTCTGTTGGATTCATCTGACTCTGCTACCACTAGCGAGTGAATCTAATAATTAGAGTAGAACAATGTTGAAGTCGTAGGTAAAGAACTTTGCTAATCTTGGTGGGTGATTTCCACAGAAAAATTTAAAGGTTCGCGAGAACCTACTGGAGAAACGATTTTTCGTCCGGGAATCAAGCAAGATATTACAAGAAAAAAAATGTCACTCGTGGAATCATTGAAATAATTTTATGACCTGGACATTCGTCTTCACAATTGGTTTCTAGACTACATTCTATAGACAATCTCTGGAACGAATATAGCAAATTTGAAGTTTCATTGGGCCAAGAAGAAGAAAATGCGATTGTGGAATATAAATAAGGAGAAAAAAGATTCTTTCTCCGGGAATCAGGCAAGATATTACAAGAAAGAGAATGTCACTCGTGAAATCATTCAAATAATTTTATAACCTGGAAATTCGTCTTCACAATTGGTTTCCAGACCATATTCTATATAGAGAATCTCTGGAACAAATTCAGCAATTTCGAAGTTTTATTGTGCCAAGATGGAGGTAATTCGAATGTTTAATATAAATATTTCATTCAGAATAATACCTTGAATAAACTCACTGTTATCATTCCAAAAATGATGGTTATAACTGGGGCACTCAGATATACGATGTATAGCGAGTATAGCGAGTAGCACGATTCGAGCGTAGCTCCAGAATAATAGTGAAACCTATGGTAAATAATTGTGCAAACTTATAATTTTCACAATTTTCCTTTGAATGCGAATGTGGTCTATGGAAGAAACGTTCTATACCTTTGAAATAATCAAAACCTAAGTGTAATCTGATTCCCTGTAGACCTCATAACCTCTATACCTGTGACCACGTTTACACAACCTATATAACCATGACTGGCCGAAACCGAAGTGGATCAACTAATAGTAATGGTGCCAATGATGCAGCAATGGAACACCTTATCAACAAGGTATGTGCAAATTTTGTAAACCAGTTAGAAACCAAATTTGAAAAACAGCTTGATAAACTCCATGATAAGTTGTCGGACATGTCGGAGTCACTCAACAAAATGAGTGCGTCGGTCACGGTCAACACGAACTCTATTACGAATCTTGTAAAGAGAAGTGACCAATTTGAACAACTACATAAGAAGAACTCGCTGAGAATTTATGGAATAGTGGAACGTGATAATGAGAATACCCCCGAAACCATTGTGGAATTTATCAATAAAGAACTAGGCGTTGAATGCTCGAGACGTGATTTGGATATGGCATTTCGCCTCGACCAGATGAGTTCTGAAAAACCAAGGGCTATATTGGTGAACTTCACCTCAAATATCTTGAAAAACGATATTATGAGTGCGAAGCGTAAGCTGAAAAATTCCCCGATATCAATTTACGAAGACCTGAGCAAATCACTGTATGAACTTCTTCGTAAAGCAAAACATAAATATGGTTCCAGAAACGCGTGGGCATCTGCCGGAAAAATTTTCGTTAAGCAAGGCGAATCCAAAAAGCAAATTTCAAGTAACGCTGACCTGTAAACGCTGCCAGTGTGGATTCATCGGTGGCCGTAGATTTCAGTTACTTACTGGTTTTTGTGCTCCTGTGATTTATCTATTTTGGAATGATTATTCTTTTATTTAGCGATAAAAACACATGTAATATATTTTTGCGTTATTTTTGTTATCATCAAGTTTTTCATGGGTTCTATGTGGTGAAACTATATTTATACTGGGTGGCCCCACTTAATAACAGAAGAATCTCATCATCATATATAGGTTTTTTTTCTTTTTTCATTTTTCATTTAATAATCTCTACTGGAGTTACTTAGAAATCATTTGAAGTATATTGCGAATGACTCGCGGTGATTATTCATTGAGCTTTGCGCATTTCAAATGCCAAAGCCTGTATACACAATATGAGAAACACCAACTCTTGATGAGTAGATCAAACTATCAATTCGATATTTCAATTTGTTGTTCTATTATATCAATTATTCATATAATTTATATCATTATTATCATTATTATCATTATAATTATTATATGCTTTTTATAATTTATATAGTATATTATATAGTTTGTTTCATGCCATTTTCAACAGATTACAGGTAATTAGTTATTATTTCGATCATTATGATCACTGTTAAATGTGCCTTTCAACTTGTTGGATATTCAGGGGGTTGTATGGAAGAGCAACTCTGTTGAATACCGCCTCCTTTATGTATCGTTTGTTTATGAATGTTGTTAATGAAGAATAAAGACACATTATTATTATTATTATTATATACGGAAGCAAAGAGCACAAAAGATTTTTATTATCCGAATAAGAATGTATTCATTTTATATTCTCTCCATTCAGGTTCAGATTCCAATAGATGAATTAGATTCAAGAGAAGAAGTATCTTTAGCTGTCGTGTCGTGTAGATTGTCGTCCTGGACATGGGTTTGCATCAATAGCCAACTAGGGATGATTGAACATGTCTTCGAGACGCAAGATGTCTGACGAATGCTCATATGAAAATCAACGAAATATCGAATTACTATGAGTAGGCGCTGAATAACTTCAAGTAAGTTCGTCAAATATCATTTTCCTGGCAAGCTGACAGTTGTAGTATTGGTAGTGAGTGTAGTTTCATATGATGAACCTCGCAGACGTTTTCAGCAAAGTAGTTATTGCTATCTAAGAACCTCGATGTGCTGCTTCTCTTCAGAAATGTGTAATGGTAATAGGATTCTTTGTAATGGTAGCAACAAATATCTCAGCAAAAACTCTGACAGCACAATCTTTCCCAGTGCACTGCTCTGGAGATACATACGAAGCAAGAGTTTTCCAGGAATATTGTCTATTATTTCACCATCAGCAATACCAGTCAACTCAACCAGCCCAATGAATAAATTGTTTTTCCTCTGATCTCCAAACAACCATGCATCATAACTCGTATATAAATAAAACGATGAAGTTTCTGGATTCTTTGCTAAAGGAAGTGTTTTCAAGCGAACTTTCAACTCTCAAAAATTCCAGGAGGATTTCAAATCATATTCACTCTTCCTAGGTACGCATGAACTTCGCACATATTTGATGACAATTTTCCTTCCTTGCGCTACAGAATTCATCTTTTTTATCATTTTATGATGTGCTTCAGTGATTTCTGAGGTCTTATTTATCGTCGTACTAGGAAACACCTAGTATCCAAATATGGAACTCAGAAACAAGAACTTCCGGAGTACAGGAAATTCTCGCGATTGGGCTGACCCGTTGAAGAATAATATATTTTCGTCACTCAAAATGAAACACACTGTATGTATGAGAGTTATGCATATAACCGTTAGAGAAAATTAATAATGAGAAATACAAAATTGATTTTAATCCGATAGTATTGGAATTTATTTCTGTTGATGATGATTTATTGTAGAATTGAAATGTGTTTTCCATTCACATATTCGTTGTGTTTCCAGATAAAACAAATCCATGAGGATGATTTGCGAAGTCAAACAATAACACGGTGGCTATTATTTCGTAGTTCGAAATGTAAATATCAGAATAAAGCAAACAGTTGCTCTGTTGTTTACTTTAACTACTATTTTATTCCAGCTTAACTCTAGCCCCTTGTTCATATGATATGCATGTCTATAACATTATAATACCATATTATGCCTCACAAGAGTTAGGCTTTATATTAAAATGCAAATTCAACTACCGGCTCACACAAAAACGGTTAGTATATTTTCCTGTTATAAACGCTCTGAATATTACTGATAAGTTCTTACACTGTTGGAAATTAGTTGATGATACAACAAGAATTTGTAGTTCTAGTATCGGTCTACCACAATTTCTCAGTTGAATTACCATGATATCTGGAGTCAGGTGAATCTTAATTGACATAGCCAGAATAACAAGAAATGATGAATTGATAACTTTACTATATCGTTTTGTGTTCTCAACAACTTTATCTTGATATAGTTAATAGCAGATATCACTTCACCATCAAATAGCTAGGCGTGTTTAGGCATCATTTGTATGGTGTATCAGCTATTATATCTTGTTGATTTTACATCAACTTACTACATTTCTAGTTATGATCTGTTGATAGATAGATTAGTTCGTGTGACTAACAATGCAATATCTCATTGTTGCTCGTACTACATCCCAGTGAATTGCTGACAATATTTCATTTCTATCATTTGTTTCTGGTTCGTAAATTGCATGTCGAATCCGTTTTGATGAAAATAACATTCCCATCGCATGAGAACATAATAATATCATTACATCATATACATATACATATCACAGCCCACATTATAACTGCTACAGAGAAACTATTGTGTCATTATTCTATCAGCTCAAGATTCTTTTATTTCGCGAAAGGACTCTGATACACAAAAATTGTCATGTGGATGAAGAATGAAATATCATATCAGATTATACTAGTAACTAGTAACACTATTCTACCAGCAATATTTTTTGTAGCCTCTAAAAGAAACACTTCTTTTCAGCTCCAACAGTGGGCATACGACTCTTTCGTCTCTAATAATTGATGTTGATCCATCGAGTGTATAGAGTATCATTCAGAAACACCCTGTACTCATCCATATACCTAAGTAGTATCAGAAAGCTGAAAGCAAAAAACAGGCAACGGGATGAAACAGGAACCGGACAAAAAGTCTTTGATTTTCTTCTTCTCTACCGAAAGTATGCAAAATGAGCACCTCTTTTGCTATTCTCTTGCCATCCTTTGTAGGGTTTACTACCCATATGTTTGACCATTTCAGACGGAAGGTGAGCATTGCTACAAACCTTTTTAAAATATTCGAATTGTTATAATTCTCACAGATTTATTGGCCTGTCCATGGCGGATGTCCTGTTGGGACGCCATCGTAGAGTGAGAAATTAAACCTAATTTTTTGGAGTACCTCTTGAACCCATTCTGATCCATCTACGAAGCCAAGGGGTGACTAGAAAGCCTCAACATCAAGTGTTCTGTTGAAACCACTTTTCATTTTGGGGCTATTCTCTCGATCCCACCCTGTTGGAATTCCAGGATGACTAGGCAGCTCCAGTAGATAATTTTTTTCAACTGTACCAATCAGGATTTGGAAGTTGGAGATCACAGTTGGCAGTAAAGGACAGGCATGCTCTGCAGACACATACGGTCAGATCCATTTTGATTACCCTTTCGATCCTGATGATGCAGAAGTGCACAGCATCAGGTTACCATTCAAGTCTTACTACTCGTAACTTCATATCTATATAAAATTAATATTTGAGATACCACTCAACTAAAAACATAAGGAGAATTTACTCATTTCTGTGGACCGTAAATATAGGCCTATATAGAAGGAGTACTATGAGGAATCTACATCTTCTTTTCTGCTTAGGCATTCAACTCATATAAAACTGATGCGATGATTCATCATTTTTCTGCTCAATAAGGTGTTACTGAAAGTATCATCAAAAATTGCCTGTCACATAAATCTTCTTTGAACAAGCTGAAGAATATATCTGGTACAGTTATTTGGTGTTTCATTAATTTCAAATTATATCTTCAGTGTTAGATTCTCTTAGTTTTTCTACTATTGAGAACTGGGTGGCAACAAGGTTTCTACGAATACTTTACTTCTGGAATCCACAGCCTGCTCTCAAACAACAGAGCTGCCGTGCCCATAACCCAATCACACACTAGTCTTGCATCTTCCAATTAACTAAACATTCATGAAGGAGCTATGAATAATTGCCGTGTTATGTCGAGTTATATCAGATTCAATGTATTGAAAGTATCGCAATTGTCAATTTCACTTTTCACTATAGTTCATTATCATTTTAATGATTTCAAGATATGTTTATCGATTTAGGAATTATGAATTCTTGATGAAAATACAACAGGAGAAATGAAATATATCTCCTCATTCCAGATAGATTTGTTACTGCTATTTTAGAAAGGCCTTCCAGTTGTTCCATCAATAGGAGCTTGCAAATTGACAACTCATACCCTTGACCACATGAAAATTCCAAAATTCATGGCAAAGCAAAATGAGACTTCATGAAGCAACAATTTTGTGATGACGACTTCAATTCCTGCGGGTTTGGAATATCATGACATCCTTGAAAGAGTACAGGTAAACTTCCCCAAAAGGCTCTTGCTACTTCCTCTCAGTACACCAGACGATATGTCGGGCTTGGAACTGGTGAAATTCAGTTTTTATGTAATAACTTTTCACCCTGAATTGGATCATCAAATCTCTCTAAATAGGCATTCATCGCCTAGGGAAATTATGTTTTTCTACAAACGTCAGTGAAAGTATAATTTTTGACGCATGCTGTCAGTGTCTAAAATGTCAATTTATGACACTGGTGTTGAAAGTAGATCACTTTTAGCCCTAGTGTAAACATAATTCATCATGAAGTGTTTCAATCAAGAGTACAATTACCGATACTACAATTATAATTCGAAACTCCATGGCCAGTCTCATTGGTAGATGTGGAAGAAATTATTTTCGTGAAGCTTGTACCAGGGCTGGGAGCAATATTATCATTATCTGCC